TTGCTGAGCCTGATGCAGGAGCCTCCTCCTTGGCTCCCTGTTTCTGCTCTTATACTCTGCAGTGTGTTCTCCCCAAAGCAGCCTGTAGGTGATCTTTTTATTTTGTTTTCTTTCTTATTAAAAAAAGTTTTATATATACGCACATCTAATTTTATTTAAGTAGTAATAAACACTTACATAGGACTTGCTAGGTGCTGGGCATTGTTCTAAACCCTTTACAATTATCAATCATTTAATTGTCAGCACAACCCCATGAGGGAGTCATTATTATTATGCCCCTTTTAGAAATGAGGAAAGTTAGCACAGAGAAGTTAAGTGCCATACCCTAGGTCACACAGCTGGTAGGTGGCAGAGCCAAGGTTTGAACACTGGCTGTCTCTATTATGTTTTTGTTTTGATTTGTTTTCTTCTCTGCTATATTCCAACGGGTTTGGGTCTTTTTGGAGGGGGTTTATATTCCAGTGTGTAGAACAGCACCTGGCATACAAGAGTGCTTTAAGGAAATCCCTGTGGAGCTCATATTCTAGTGGGGGGAGACAGGAAACAAACAAAAAGTCAAATACACAGTACGAATATTTTTAATGTTAATATATAATACTAGATTGCTTCAGTCTGGTCTTTTAAAAATTTGATCCCTCTCATGGCTTCCCATTACGTCCAGAATGAAATATGAGCTCCATCCCTGGCCGAAGAGCCTTACAGTACCTGGTCCCCGCCCCGCCTGCACTCCTAACACACTAGCATTGTTTCTGTTCTTCCGATGTGCCAAAGTAGGTCCTACTTCAGGGCCTTTGCAACAGCTGCGCCCTCCACCAGAAGGCTCTTTGCCCCAGATCTTTTGTGGTCGGTTATTTTTGGCCAGACTGTCACCTCAAACGAAGAAGGCAGTTCCTTACCATTCGGAAAAAGCAACCTGTTAGCCACTACTTAACAAGTCTCCTCCCCCCACCCCCTCCCCACCCCCGTTGTGTGTGTGTTCCATATCGCTGTTTATTTATTCTTCAGCTT